TATATTTTGGCATTGCACAGCATCATGTTTTTCTCTGACTGTTTATGACCTCGTTAAACTAAATCCCTTGAATGTGTACTGATTGATATTTTAGTCTTAGATGCATGATATTTTTATTTGTTGTTATGGGCTTGAACTAGCTTTCAGTATCTGTGAGTACTCTCAGATCTGTACTATGTTTTAAGTGTTTCTGTTAGTTGTCTTTGTGATTAGTATATATCTGACCAGTTAAGCCCTTTTCAACTGATTTATTTTGTTTCTTCATATGTTATGCTATTACACCACGATCCCAGGTTAGAGGGAGCGAAGGACGCCTGCAAACATGTTTAACTCAGCCATATTCTGCATATGCCTGTACAAAGTCAAGAGCCTGTAATTCAGTAGTTGCTGTTTGTTGTTGTATATCATATTTGTTTTTGTCTCGCCCACGACGAAAGTCGCAGTATGCGTAACATAGGGATTACAAGGCGTAAACTATTTGTATAAAGCTTTATATTTCAGAAGGTAGAGGACCTGGATGCTTCATACCTTGTATTTAGATACCTTATGTTATGAAGTCATATGTTCATTGTCCTTGACCTCATTTTCATGGATCAGAGACTGCTTGAAAAAAATTATAGTTTTTTTTTTGTCATGTGAATTTCTCACTTATAATGAGTAATAGGATAACTATATTTGGTATATGGGTTTCTTGCAACGTCTACATGTCCGTCAGACAAGGTTCAGCTGACCTCGACCTCATTTCTTGGATCAGTGATCAAGATTAAAGTTACATGATTAGGTCTGTTTCTCATATACTATAAGAAATAGGTCAACTATATTTGGTGTATGGAATGGTTGTAAGGGGTAAATATCAGTTTGGCAGGTTTCATCTGACCTTGACCTCATTTTCATGGTTTTGTGTTTTGGTCTGTTTTGCAAGTAATATAAGCAATAGGTCAACTGTATTTGGTGTATAGAATGATTGTAAGGTGTACATGTCTGTCTAGCCAGTATCATCTGACCTTGACCTCATTTTTATGGTTCATTGGCCAATGTGGAGTTTTTGTGTTTTGGTCTGTTTTTCAAATACTTAAAGCAATAAGTCAGCTATATTTGATGTAATAATTGTAAGGTGTACATGTCTGTCTTCGAGTATCATCGGACCTTGGTCTCATTTTTATGGTTCATTGGTCAATGATAAGTTTTTGTGTTTTGGTCTGTTTTTTAAGTACTATAAGCAATAGGTCAACTATATTTGGTGTATGGAATAATTGTAAGGGGTACATGTCTGTCCGACAGGATTTATCTTACCTTGACCTCATTGTCATGGATATTTAAAATTGTGGAGTTTATGTGATACTTGTAGTAAAACCTTTATCTTTAAGACTTAAGTCTTTTAGCATAAATTCAATGGTTAGTAAAGCAGTCGAGAAATTTCAGCGTGTGCACTCTTGTTTGTTTATTTTTATGCCCCCGCTGTACGTACCCAAAATTAGTTTCCGTTCTCTAACTTTAGTTTGACTCAACCAAATGTTAAGAATCTGGTACACAATGCTTCTTACCATCAAACACAGATCAAGTTTGAAATTTGGTGGCTTCAATTTCACCTTTCTCTAGTTAAGCTCCTTTAAAAATGAAAAATAATGTCAACTTTGTAGTTTCCGCAATCTAACTTCATTTTGCCTAACCAAATGTTATGAAACTTATACACAATGCTTATTACCACCCAACACAGATAAAGTTTGGATTGGGGTAGCCTCACTTTTGCTGTTCTGGAGTTCTGTCCTTTGTAAATTAAAAATTGCAGAATTTGAACTTATTTACAAGCAGGGAGCATCTGTGTCCCATGGACACGTTCTTCATATAATATGTACATAAATCAGGCCTTGCATTGTTTTGCATTTGTCATGTTGGGGCCTTTTATACCTTGCTATATGCGTTATGGGTTTTGCGTATTGTTGAAGGTCATACAGTTACTTACAGTTGCTAACTTCTATGTCATTTGGTCTCTGGTGGAGAGTTGTTTCATTGGCAATTATGGAACATCTTCTTATTTTTGTAAATTTGGTGTATGGAATGATTATAAGGTGTACATGTCCATTTGGTAAGTTTTATCTAATCTTGAACTCATATTTCTGCATCATGGATAATGTTCTGTATACTAGTATGTGATACCTGTAGTAAAACCTTTATCTTAAAAGACTTTCAACATAAATTCAGTCATGATCAGTTAAGCAGGTGAGACATTTCAGAATGTGCACCCAAATAATGTTTGATTTCTGTTGTCTTGTAAATTCGCAGACTTTTTTTTTATTTTCTACTGTTTTAGTTGGAGACTGATCATGGTTTTAAAATAAAGTTTTTTTCATTAACTTAAGAACAGTTTTTTTACGGAGATGTTGTTTACAAAGCCCTGAAATTTAGATATGATCCAGGTAAACTTATCGATCCTTTAGATAAACTTATTCTAAAAGGTTACCAATTCAACACTGTATTTAGATCTTTGAATATTGTTTTTATTGGCATAAATATTGATTTTGTTATCAGTAAATTAAAATCAAACTAAATATCATTTTTATATACATATGCACATTCATGGCTCTACAATCTGTCGATACCTGTATCGTAGCATTGCACAAGTTCATGTTTTTCTCTGACTGTTAATGACGTCTTTACACTAAATCCATTGGATGTTGGATGTGTACTGGTTGATATTTTAGTCTTAGATGCATGATTTTTTTTTATAAGTTGTTATTGGCTTTGAACTAGCTGTCAGTAACTGCAAGTACTCTCAGATCTGTACTTGGGTTTTTTTCTCCTCCGCCTCATTTTTAGACTAATACCTCGAATTTGACATAAGCAATCACATCTCAGTACCAGAATCTATGACAAACGAGACGATTTTAATTTTGAAATTATCAATTTCCCCCACCTTAGTAGCAATATACCATCTTCACCTGCATATGGGATATACATTTCCAAACTCATATGTTGTACTGTTACACAACTGTCCCAAGTTAGGGGGAGGGTTGGGCGTCCGCTAACATGTTTAACCCCGCCACATTCTGTATGTGCCTGTCCCAAGTCAGGAGCCTGTAATTCGGTGGTTGTTGTTTATTGCTGTATATCATATTTGTTTTTCGTTCATTATTTTGTACATAAATCAAGCCGTTTGTTTTCTCGTTTAAATTGTTTTACATTTGTCATTTCGGGGCAATTCATAGCGGACTATGCGGTATGGGTTTTACTCATTGTTAACGGCCGTACAGTGACCTATAGTTGTTAATTTCTGTGTCATTTGGTCACTTGTGGAGAGTTGTCTCATTGGCAATCATACCACACCTTATTTTTATAATCATTCGGTATTCAAGAGCTTGCAGCTGCTACTCAGACTTTATAATACGTCACCGGTGTCTTAGCAGAAAGTTGATGAACCAGGGTTATGTCAAAGAACGTCTCGTCCTTTTTTCAAAAAAAAAAAGTTCATCGGAAGATACCAAGACCTAGTTGATACATATTCCATATCAACTTCATAAATAATACATAGTCTTGAAGTATAGATTCTAGGTACTGACGTTGTTTACCATCTTATTTACGTGTTATAGTGTTCTTTTATTTGTCTTTGTAAATTATTAACCTTTACTCTTTAGTCTATTTTGGGGGAAATACTTTTGGAGTGACTCGGTACTTTTACATTCCGCCATTGTGTAATTTTGCTTTGGTCATTTTTTGTATTCTGGTCTTTCAATTTTGCACATGTGCTTTGTCTATATGCCATTTAGCTTTTCTTTGTTGACATATTTGTTTGTTTTATAGTGATTAAGATTATAACACAATGAGTCAACATGATCCAGAAACACCACATATAAAAGACATTAAATGTTCAGGTAAAATAAGTGTAAAAATATTGATTTACCGTGTACTGTGCAAATTCAAAGTGTAAAAGAGCTGTTGTTGATGTAATTATGAAAACAATTGGGTTTTAAAGTATTGGCTTACAGATTTTATTGGGTCACAGAAAGTTGGTGACTTGACTCCTATGCAATTTTCATGGGTCACAGAAAGTTGGTGACTTGACTCCTATGAAATTTTCATGGGTCACAGAAAATTGGTGACTTGACTCCTATGCAATTTTTCAGTTTGTTATTTTTTTAAAAATTTTTTATTTCACTGCAAATTAGGGAGCTACCATTTGATTTTTATGGGGGGGTTAGGATGAACATCTTGTCCTGCCTATTTATTTTCCCCTCTATTCGGTCCTGCCTTTTTATTTTTCACTCTATTCGGGCCTGCCTTTTTTTTTAGTTTATCCTGACTTTTTTTTTTACATAAATTGTCATCCTGCCTTTTTTTTTGCAAATAATCTCATCCTGCCTTTTTTTTCACTCAAAAATCCTGTCCTGCCTATTTTTTTCAAATTTCATCCTAGGCCCCCATAAAAATCAACTGGTAGCTCCCTTAGCCCAAAATACATGATGCCTTCATTAAAATCTAGTCTTCATCTGCCATATAGCCAGTGAGAAATTTAAGATTAGTTTCCGGTGATAAATATAATTCACTGAACCAGAACCTTGTCTTTTTTATTTATCTTTATTTTTTATATTAAACTGAATTGGGTAGACCTCAAGTTTGACATATGAATGGTCCAATATGAGATAGGAATCCCCATATTGTGCATGCAACAACTTGCTAATTGCAATAACCAATAACCAAGAATTCAATGTTTTGATTTTTCAGACAACATAAAGCAATTATTATATTACAACTACATTACTTAACCAGTACCAGTGAAATTAACAACTGTTTTATAAAATAAATACATATAATTAAGCATAAAATAAATTTGTTGTATTAAAAAAAACAGTGATTTACTGTAATCCAAAGAGAATAATATGTTTATTTATGATATTGCATTTTCACAAATACACCTTTGATAAGTTTTTTGCAAAATGCAATAAACAAAAAAAGATTATTAAAAAAGATTATATAACTTGTAAAAAAAGAGAAAACATGCAACAAAAAAAATCTTCTTAAAAATATTAACATATAAATTTTGAAAATAATGCTAATGTCAGTAATGAATATACACAGAAAAATAATATTTTAAATACAAAGGATACAAGTCTGACTGACTAACATAAAAAAATAGTTCTGATATTAATATTTTGATACATAAGAAAGAAGGTTCTCACAAGACATGCAAGAATATGATCTTTCTTTCTTAATATAACTCTTCACTGCTTATAAGTATACATTCAGTGCTTAAAAAATGTATTGTGAACAAACAGATTGTGTTCTTAGAATTCATTCAAGTATGGATTCATAAGCAATCTGATATTTAACATTGTAATGTATTGTCTATTGATTACCTCAGCACCCTGATATATTCACTTTATAAAGCTTGGCTTCCTTGGCTGTAGTGTCTTCAGGTAGAGTAGTTCCTATATAGAACTGTCCTGTAGGAGTTAAAGAAAGGGAATTTGGACCCATTCCATGGTCTGTTGTATTTATGTATGTAATCAGCTGACCAGAGTTGTTCAGGATGTGGAGGGTATTCGTATCAACATCAACTACAATGACATTGTCTCTTGGTGTTGTTACTATTCCTGCTGGTCTGAATGGTTCCTCCTTGTTGATTTCTGAATCACCTTTATATATATTTATCACATCACGTGCCTTTCCTAACACTACCAGTTTACCACTGTCTTCATTTAGACCTAGATCATTTGGATCATAGTCTGCCACCTGTATATTTCCATTACTGGTTGTAGTAATACTGCACGGATAACTAAATATAGGTTGTTTATGGTGGTCATGTTCATACACAGCTTCATGGTCTCCATTCTTATTTATTACAAACACTGCTACTCTTTCGTCATTATAACCTCCTACTATGACCTGACCACCACTGGTGATATGAATAGCTCCAGGAATGAAAGGATTGATGTCATACACAGTGTCTGTTACTTTACCAGTAGTACTGCTGATCATTTGTAGTTTGGATTTATCACTTACTGCCAGAAGTAGATCATCAGATTTAGATATCGCCATACCATAGACGTCGATGTTGAAGGTAGATATTGTCTTTAGATTGGTTCCTTCCGGTTTTACTTTCTGTAACACTTCATCTGAATCACAAGCTATCCAAAGTGAATCATCATGACATGCAGAAAGATAACTAATCAAAGGAAGATTAGTCTGATATTGATTAAAAAAACTAAGAGAAACCTTTGCATCAGCTGATGGTATGTCAACTCTTTGTATAACTCCAATGTTAGACTGCGTTATCTCTCCAGGAATAAATTGCAGTGTTGATCCAAGTGATATTTCAGGTTTAGGAACGGATAGTTCTGTTGATTTCTCAATTCTGTTGACATTTTGGAAAAATTTAGAAATGTCGGTTGTATTAATGAAATCCTGAACATCGCTATACTTTTCATCTATTTGTATCTCACTCTTATAAATGTCATTAATAACTTCTTCGTTTGCTTTGGATGAAGCTTGATGGTTCTGGTCTAACTCATTTCTTAGTTTTGCAATATGTTTCACAACTGCTGCCTTCAGAACTTTCTCATGGTTAAGAATATCTGTGCTTACTTTGGTATAATTTGAAGTTTCACAATTTTGAAACTGATTCAGTTGATCCTTGGTCGCAGTAATTTCATCTTTTTCTTTTTGCAATTTAATCTGTCGTTTCTTTAGTATGTCTATCTTCAAGTTATATGCATCACTTATTTCAGTTAAATCATGTTTCTTATGAACCTTAGCAATGCAAGAAGGGCAAACGAGTTTGTCACAATTTGTACAAAAAAGGCAAGAAGATTGTTCTGAATGATCCTGACATTTAATGTTTGTAAAATCCAATCCTTCAACAGGCAGCCCCACATTCTTGATGTCTACTACCTTATGATCCTTAGCTATTCTCAGATGTATTTTATCTTTACATGTACTGCACATTAGAACTCCACATGTCAAGCATTTCCATTTTATATTCTTCTCAGTTTCACATAAATTACAGTTAATGGGCATCTGGCCTCTAATAACTGATTTAGAGAACGCCATTTTTGAAACTAATTCTACTTCCTGGTTTGTATCTCAGGTAATATGTTTAAATATAATCATGGTTGGTGCTAGAGGCCAGATCACTTAAAGGTAGATTTTCGGGTCACATCGGACATTTTCATTAAAAAAAACTTACAGGTGACAGACATGCATATAACTATGGAAATATATACATGGTGTATCAAAGTCTATGAAGATCTATGAATTTGGGAATAATATACTAAAGGGATAATAACCTTGTACGATATATTTTCTTTATGATATATGACCTTATTATTTGTCTCCACGAAATTTAACGAGACTTGCGTGGATAAGCTTAAGGACGGCACCGGCAATATAGAAAATATGCTATTTTGCCGGCTCCTGTTATATCATCTGAATTCAATCCGGGAAAATAGCATATTTTTTTATAGAAAAAGCTATTTTACCGGCACTGGCAATAAGTGCATTTGATATTTTGCCGGTTCTTTGGTAAGAATAAAATTTAATATTTACTTTTGAAAAGTACATGTAATAAATTAATGATATGCCGGTAGTTAAATAAGAGCTAACAATATTTGAGATACATATAATCGTTTAAAAACATGCATCAGTCAAAGTGAAAATAAGAATTGATAACAAGAAATAAAAACGAAAATATTGAGCATCCATTTGTTTTAATGAAATCATATCAAAACTGCATAAGAATAAAATCTCAGAGTTTTTAAATGTATGTTATAAAAAAAAATTTTAACAAGTTAAAAATCTCATTGCAAACATTATAAAATATAACAAAATCAATCACATAGCTTCAAAAATAAATTTAAATATGTTTAATTACATTTGCAGTTAAAATTATAGACTAGTCAGTTCTTTGAATTGCATGTATGTAAACCAAATAGTTTTTAATTTGGCTTCCGCTAGAGCTGGCAAAATAGCATATTTTCTATTTTCACAGAACTGGCAAATTCACTATACTGCCGGTGCCGGTAAAATAGCCAGTTCTAAAGAAATATGCTATTTTGCCGTCTTGAATTAAGATATTTTAATCACAGCCGGCAAAATAGCATATTTTCTATTTTGCTGATGCCGGCAAAACAGCCACAGCTACTGCTAGTAGTCCTTTGTTAATTTATGTATCATTGTCATTTTGCTTAGTTTCTTTTGTTACCTATTCTGACACCGGACTCGGACTTCTTTTAAACTGAGTTTTACTGTGCGTATTGCTGTGTGTTTGTTTTTGTACATTGGATAGAGGTATATGGGGAGGGTTGAGATCTCACTAAACATGTTTAACCCCGCCGCATTTTTGCGCCTGTCCCAAGTCAGGAATCTCTGGCCTTTGTTAGTCTTGTATGATTTTTAATTTTAGTTCATTTAAATATTTCGGGGTTTAGTATGACGTCCATTATCACTGAACTAGTACACATTTGTGTTTAGGGGCCAATTGCAGCCCGCCTCCGGATGCGGGATTTTCTCGCTGTGTTGAGGCCCATTAGTGGCCTTTGGCTTTTTTCTGCTCTTTGGTCAGGTTGTTGTCTCTTTGACACATTCCCCATTTCCATTTTCAATTTTGTCTTGAAGACTGTTTCGAAAAACAATTTAAAAAATGAATATGTTTAAGATTGATCGGTAGATTCTTGCATGATCGCAGAGTGACAAATATTTCAGGTATGTCAAGAACTATAGTATTAAAGACGTCGCCCAGTTCACAAAACTTTTTTCATGTCTAAAAGACTAAATCCATCTTCTACAGAAAATTCTACAGCTTTACATTTCGATAATTATTTTAGCTACACGTATGCGCAAATTATTTAGTTCCGCAGAAAACGGAAAAAAACATAAATAAGTTTATGACACAAAACATTACATGTGCAGTACTCGAATTTTTACACTTCCTTGCATTGCAAATCACTTAAAACTCCTATATTGTAATGTCAATGTAACTTACATTACGTAAATATCATAAGATTCCGTAAATTTTGAATGGCAAACAACAACAATAATCTAAGTTATGTTTAATTTCCTACTAGAATACAATATTGTTAACTGTTCATGCTCTACAAACAACGTAACAACAATATTTACACCAAGATCTCGTTAAATAAAATTGGATACCTGGCATTTATCATGCTTTGCAATACCATATCATCGATCATGTTGTTGAACCCCATTTAATTAAAAGTAGTCTATCACTCTGCATTGTCAATAATCTCTTGGTGTATATATGCTCTTCAACTTCGTACTTTATTTGGCCTTTTTAACTTTTTTTTATTCGAGCGTCACTGATGTAGACGAAACACGCGTCTGGCGCTAATACGAAATTTCAATCCTGGTATCTATGATGAGTTTAATTAGATACACCCATTCGAACTAACGCCGTCAAGTTGCATTAAAAAGCTTGTCATTTCATTGCTTATATAAAAAAACAAAAGTAATCATAAGAGCTGATTATATTTTAGTAATTTTATCGTGTTTATATGAGGACAACAGCGTTGATCCTGTGCACATTCTAAATTTAGACCACTTTATACAACGACGATTTCACATACAATAAATTTTAAAGTACAAGAGTTCAATTCTGAAGTATAGATCACGCAATTTTTTTAAGCAGACATATTACGATTTGAAATCTGTGTACTCTTTATAAACCAATGTTACGCAAATGCGGTCAATATACTTATATATCGAGTAATACATAATCTGAAGCGGGACGTGTTTGATATCTCCCTTAGAAATTCAATTAATTTTTACGCAACTGCATCTTTTTACGTTTGAGCCGCTGAGAAGCAGTATATGATCATTTAAAGTCCACCAAAAACCCGTGGCGTTGTGGCTGATTTATCTTTGTGTAGACCCTGCCCCCTCTATCCTTTTGAGTATTTCCACCTCCCCCATCCCGATAAGGTTATAACAGGAATGATGAAGTCACTTGAAGGAGTTTACGCTGGAATCGTTCATCGAGATCCTACTTAAGATAAACGTGGCCTCATTTGAGCACATAAACGTGGCCTCATTTGGGCGCATGAACTCATCACAATCGTCCAATTAGAACAGAGGGTTTGGGTAATTCTTCCTCATGAACGACCGACTCTATTTGGTTAATGAGAGGCAGTTGACTCATATCTGATATGTAGGAGCTTTACCACCCTATTTGGTCGTGCAGTATCTACCTGACGTCAAACGATTCACTCCAGAACGTGTCGGCATTGTAGATACGTTCATTAAACAAGAGAATATCTCCCTATTGTGAAAATTGAAATTGAAAAAAATTAAATTCTTAAATTCTAAATTCTTACAAATTCTACAAATTCTAAAAATTCTAAAATTTTAAAAACAATCTAAGAAAAAATTAAAAATTAAAAATTCGAATATTCAAACATAAAAAAAAAGACACACAAAAATAATTCTAAATAAAATATCAGATCACCGAAGGTAGGCAACTGCGAGACATTGCCGTATTTGATACATAACTGGTTAAACACACTACCAGATCATGCAAAGATAGGCAGAGATAAGATATTGCTGTATTTGATAAATATTAAGTGCTAAACACAATATCAGATCACGCAAAGGTGTGTTAATTGAGATCAGACATTGCTGTATGGGGTATGTAACTGGTAAAACACAACAACAAATCACGCAAAGGTAGGCAGAGACCAGACATTGCTGTATGGATAGATAACTGGTAAACCACAACATCAGATCACGCAGAGGTAGGTGGAGATCAGATATTACTGTATTGGATATACAAGTGCTTAACACAATATCAGATCACGAAAGGTAGGCAGAGATTTAACTTTGATGTATTGTGTATATCACTGGTAAAGGACAATATCAGATCAGACACAGGTATGTAGAGATCAGACATTGCTGTTTCGGGTATATAACTGGTAAAACACAAATTCAGATCACGCAAAAGTAGGTGGAGAACAGACATTGCTATTTCGGGTATATAACTGGTAAAACCCAATATCAGATCACGAAAGGTAGGCAGAATCAGACATTGCTGTATGGGATATATAACTGGTAAAACACAACATCAGATCACGCAAAAGTAGGCAGAGATCAGACATTGCTGTATGGAGTATTTTACTAATAAAACACAACATCAGATCACGCAAAGGTAGGCAGAGATCAGACATTGCTGTATGGGATATATAACTGGTAAATAATAAAATAAGATCACACAAAGGTAGACAGGGACCAGACATTGCTGTATTGATAGATAACTGGTAAAACACAACATCAGATCACGCAGAGGTAGGTGGAGATCAGATATTACTGTATTGAATATACAAGTGCTAAACACAATATCAGATCACGCAGAGGTAGACAGGACGATGCTGTCATTGATATATAACTTGTATAACACAATTTCAGATCACACAAAGGTAGGTGGAGATCAGACATAACTATATTGGATATATCAGTGCTTAACATAATATCATAGATCACGCAAAGGTAGGTAGTGATCAGACATTGGTGTTTAGGATATATTACTTGTTAAACATGATATCAGGTCACGCAAAGGTAGGTGGAGATCAGACATAACTATATTGGATATATCAGTGCTCTATTAATTTTAAAATCAATCGGGTCCAGGACCAATCTAGTATACCTTTTTATAATCCTTCGTAATTAATTCCATTTTCTATGTGCATACATTTAGAGTAACTTAGAGCTGGCAAACTCAGTGTATGATATATGTTTCTGGTTATGGAATACATTTTTCAGCATTAATTTTCATATTTTTCAAGAAATTCATACTTGCATGTTTGTAGTATAATTATTGTGTGTGTATTTTTAGAATAGAAATCCAGATCAGGTGTGTGTTTCTAATATTAAAAAAGGTGTTATATTAGAACCTGACTGGTAGAACCCTGACAGGTGAAAATTTTATATTAGAACCTGACTGGTAGAACACTGACAGGTGATGCTTTTGTTCATAAAAATCTGTGGTAGAACCGCAACAGCTGAAAATTTTATATTAAAACCTGACTGGTAGAACCCTGACAGGTG